AGACGGAAAGGGGCGAGGCCAGGTGATTGAGTGAGGCGGCCGGTCCAAGCAGAGGAGGGGCGAAGGCTCGGCATGGCTACGTACCACCGGCACCGAGGATGGTGATGTCCGTTTTGGCATGCGATGAGCTGCCCATGATGGCGGGTCGTGGACGAGGTCGTGAAGCGGGAGAGAGGAGACTTGCAATAGGAGGGAGGGAGGATGAGGTGGTGGGCCGCAGGAGTGGGTCGAGAAGAAGGGCCGCAGCGCTTTAAAAGTGTCCAGGCGGCCGGGTCTCGGGCCGTGCCGCGCTCTGCTCTGCCAGCCCCTGCCCTGCCTTCGCGCGGGGAAACCCCGGATTGCATGCCGGCCAAAGCCCCGCGCACCGAGGGCCAACCGACCGAGGGCCACGCCGCCGGGCAGCCCTGCCAGCCGTTCCCACCCCACCTAGCCGGGCGCTTTGTTCCGGTACCGGGACCGCATCGTATCGGCTCGCCTCCGCACCTGCCCTGACCTGACTCGACGAAGTCGACGGTGCGCCCCTCTGCCCTGGCCCTAGGGCACACACGACTGCCGCGGCTATACCCGCGGTGACAATGGGCGAGCAGACGGGAAAAGCGATCGGATATGGCTGGGTGGCGCTGCAAGCGAGCCGGTTCCTTTCCGATTGGCGGGGAGGTCGAGGCGAGCGGACCGCCCGCGAGGCGCCCTTTGCTTGCTGACCACCCACTCCTGACCTCCCCTCGACGATGCCAGCAAAGCGCAATGCCAGGTCAGCTCATGGAACGGGGAAGACGGTCAGCGAGGATAACGAAAGAGGGAGGATTGCGGCGAGGAAATCTCGGCGCCAGCCCGAGCGGTTGTGACCCGCAGCAAGCAGGCCATGCCTTGCGCCGGGCACGCCGAGATCAGCATGGTCGGAGGACCGCTGATGGAAGGGCCCTGTGGGCGACTGACTGCTCGGGTAAAGATGCATATCCTCGCCGCTGTCGCCGCCATGTGAAGAGCTGATAAGTAGATACAGGGATGTTCTCGCCGCTCATTCGTCTCTACGCTGTGGATCCACCGCCCGCCCGTGGTGGAGCGGCCGGGACGCTCGCTGCCTGACTCGCTGCGACGCCGTCTAGCCGCGACTCTTCTTCCAGTCGAGGTCGCCCACCTTGTCCCATGTGCTCGGCTCCTTTTCCTCGGGCTGTGTCTCGTCCCACACGCCGCTGCGCGCAATCTTGGCACGCAGCATCTCGCGCCGCGCCTCGTCGTCGTCGGTGCCCAGCGCCGCCGACTCGTCGCCCCGTCGTCGCTTGCTGCCCGCCGACGCCGACGCCGACGCCAGCCGCTGCGTCTCGATGGCCGACGTGGGCAGCGAGCGCACGGCCATGTTGATCGACTCGTCGAGGTCGTCGCCGCGCACGGCCGCGGCGGGCGCGGGCGGTGCGGGCGTCTCGAAGTCGTCCTTCCTCGACCCGTACCCGCTCTTTTTCCAAAAGATGGGCTTCTGCCCCTTGATGGCCTTGCGCATCGGCTTGGCGAACGCGCCCAGGTTGTCGGCGCGCTCGCGGTCCGGGTCGTTTTCCTTGTCGTAGTAGTACCAGCACTCGAGCGGGTTGCCCGAGGCATCCTTGCCCGCGCGGTGGATGACGCCAAACATGGGCGACGACTGCAGTACCACCTCGAGGTGCTCGCGCCACGCCTTGCGCGCAATCG